AGATATTAACCTGGGAATGCCTCAGCGTGGCACAGAAGCAAACAGTGGACCATAATGTGGAGAAACAAAATATATGTAGTATTGAGGTCATGGCTGCAACCAGGGCCCATATTTATCAAGCATCTGGGAGTAAGAAATAAGCCCTAACTGCTTTTAAGAGTAGAAGTAAGAAGAATTTATCAACATTCTATCTTAGGAAATCACTCCTAAATGTAGGACAGCTCCAGAGGTATCCCAACTGGTTAGGAACCGCCAGGAGGGGGTGTTCAGACAAAGATATGCACACAGTATGAGGAGAGGTGTTTTACTTACACATAATCAGGCTGAGCTCATTTAAAAAAATACAGTTTGGCAATAAGTGGAATAGTTTTTGCAACAGAGCTTGTGCAAGAAGCAATTATTGTAACAAAAGGATGAACACACACTGTCTCCACCGAAACAGTAGTCGTTGCATCTTTAGGCTACACCTTTTATTGTCCAGTAGCAGTGATGATTTGAGTCTTTTAAAACTGACAGTTTTGGCCGTAATAAGTGAGTCCTTGGTCGCTCTGACAGCTCCACCTCTAATGCACCGATTGGTTCATTTCCACACCACTCACTGTTAATCAGTGAAAAATGAGCTACATATATGCAACTCACCAGTTTCCTTGGACATGCTGGAGTCAGCAATGGCGATTTCCTCCCGCTGAGTCCCTGAACGGGGTCACGGGGGGAGCCAATCCCGGCCGGCAATCGGGCGAAGGCGGGGTACACCCTGGACAGGTCGCCAATTCATCACAGGGCTAACACATAGATGAACAACCACACACACACACGCACTCACTCACTCACTCCTATGGGCAATTTAGAGACACCCATCAACCTAAGCTGCATGTCTTTGGACTGTGGGAGGAAGCCGGAGTACCCGGAGAGAACCCACGCAACTGCAATCCTTGATTTGCCAAATTTAGTGGCCAATATTCACATAGGATGAAAGTGAACCAAACCTAAGGAAATAATTGTTCCCCCTGAATACAATTCTTTATTATAGGGAATTAGAAAACCTTATAAAGATCATTTCACAGAGATGAGTCCCATTATGGTTGGCTTTCCAGTATCAGCATATTGCAGAATTTTTAATTGGAGAAAATGATGTCCTCACAAATTGTATCTGCAGCTTTGAGAGTTTTGTCAATGGTGTCTTCAGGAGTATTTTGACTGCTGAGTTGGAGGGATGATGAAAAGCCAAAAAGATGACTTCCCTGCACTCAAGGGTTCAGTCTTACTTATTAAAATGATAACCTCTAAGCCTTAAGGTCTTATTTTCACTTCTAATGGTTAAGATTTTAGTCAATCCATCCATTAACTATACTGCTTTTTCCTGAAAGGGTCACAGGCCTGAAGCCAATTCTAGGGCGCACTGGGTGAGAGGTGGAGTATATCTTGTACAGGTCTCCAGTCTGTCACAGGACTGAAATGTAGACAAACAAAAACATAGAGTTACACACACTCCTATGAGCACTTTAGAGGCACGGGGAGAACATGCAAACTCCACACACAAAGGTCCTGGGTTGGCCCAGGCTCGAACCTGGAACTTTTTTGCTGTGAGGTGACAGCGCCGCTCTGACATCTAAGTTGTAAAACTTGTGTAATAAAAATATTTCACAGTTAATCCTTGAAAAAACTGAAATAATGCAGTTAAATGACAACAGGCCTCCCACACTCCTTAGATACCTGTGGTCTACACTGGAAACATTAATCCCATTAGTAATGCACACAAAGTAAACTTGTGAAAAAGTCAGACAAAGCCATAAACTAGTAACATTGCACACAAGTGTTGCTTTCAACACACAAACTCTATCTTCTCTAATGTGTATTTCATTTCTGCAGTGTCCTTCTCTCAAGGTATATAAAAGGACTCTGCCATAAATCACAGATTAAGAACAGAGGCCTGTGAGCCTCCACATCATAGAGACCACCCTGACCTTAACTGAATACTGGTCATCTATGGAGTTTTCTAACAAAACACACACATAATACAGGTCACAGGTCAAGTACACAAACACATACTGTAATGTTAGACAGCTGCATTATACATAAAGATCCACCCATGAGCAGCTGTATGCCAATACAGAATTAAATCATTTAAATTTAAATCAGCTGCAGGGGAGCATCAGTGGAAGCACAGCAACTTGTTTTATGCACACCTGTAAATCATACATGTTAGCTAATAAATCACAATAAAGTGCTCATTTCTCACTGCAGATTGATCAGTCATCTACTGTACAGCAACTGTAGGTTTCATTTACTGGCACCGTAGATGGATTAAGAGACAACAACCCCTCCTACATAGGACCCCCAGGCAGTCACGCCATCTGTAATCATTATGTATGTGCTACAGTATCTTTATGATTTTGTCTTTCTGTAGTTATTTTGCATCTCTTTGTGGTTTTTTTTGTGGCCATTTTTATATGAGCGTTTTTTTCATTTCTTTATGGTTGTTTTGTCTCTTTGTGTGTGTGTGTTTTAACTGAGCTCTGTCACTTTCAGACTAGAAATAAGTCACATCATACAGATGCACCGGAGGCCCTGACATCTCAGGCCCCTGAACCTGTTCCCAGCAGGTCCATCCCATAATCCATCCCTGACCGACATCTGTAACATGGACACTTTACACTGAACGCAGATGTTCATTCTTCAAAGAGTGTGACAACCTGATACACTGCTCATCACACCAACAACAGAGTAAGAAGAGTCAGTTATCCCAACTGTTAGAAGTTAGTTAATGCAGCTTTATCTTTTTAAAGAAGAACAAAATCAAACGTGGCAAAGAGCAGAGGTGGAAAGTAACTAAGTACATTTAGTGCTGAACGTAAGAACAGTTTTGAGATATCTGCACTGTACTTGAGTATGCTGCTACTTCATACACTGACTTCATTACATATTATAGGCAAATATTGCACTTTTTACTCCCCTACATTTATTTGACAACTTTAGCCACTAGTTACTACAACATAAATACAGTATATACAGTATAGTATAACATAAGACTTCATTGATCCCTGGTTGTAAAATTCAGAAGCTACCCAGCAGTACTTCACATGATAAGCATATAAGGTAGTTAAACTAGCTCCACCTTTACCAGCTGCAGCATTAAATGTGATGTACGCAGTAATGTATCAGTAATTATAATATGATATACACTGATGTGAAATGTGCTGTTCTGTATAATGAGCACATTTATTGTACTTTTGGTACTTTTAAGTATATTTTGATGCTAATACTTTAATACTTGGTAACATTTTGAATGCGAGACATTTATATGTAACAGTATTTTTACACTGTGGCACCCAGCCCTGCTTAGTTTTTAATCCAGCAGCTTCACTGCTACAAAATCTATCCCCTGGTCTGATCCCAGCATTAGGGGTGGCAGGGAGTGTTCCAGCTGCACCCACATAGCTACACCAAGCCATGTCTTTTGGAAATCTTACTTAAAAGTGAAGAGTGGCAGAAAGTTAATGGAACAGGGTCCAGCTCAGCAGGATCATCTGTACCATGGTGGACCGGGACAGGCAGTGGAAGAGCAACGGACTTAACAGCTTCCCAACTATTCACTTTATTATCTGGATGAAAGACAAACTGACATTGAATGGAGGAGGCTTGTCAAGTGGGTAGCAAAGAAAGACACTGACGCTATCTGCAGAGAGGGAGAAAAGCAAGGGGAAACCCGCTTCCTCTGCCAAGAATCGTAATTGTGTATCTTAAGTTGAAAGCAGCACAAATTCCCAGAAACCTCTATTAGCTACAACGCTTGGGGGCACTGGACAGTTTGCTGCTGTCTGCAGTAAGCACACTTGAGCTGACTGTTCTTGAAGAAATGCAATGGGAGACGGTCAAAGAGAGCCAACGTTATGATAACTTTGAGAAAAGGAGCTGCAGGCAGCCATGACTGCAGATGGTTGACAGCACGACGGGCATCTTGTCAGAAGAGAAGAGATGAGCCATTAGAAACTTAGATTCTACAGTCATTTTAACCATCAAGAGCAGTGATAAGTGGACCAAGCATATGACTCAGGCACAAGGCAGTTGAGCTCAGGGGAATTTCAGGTTTTTTTGTTTATTTAGAACAGCTGACAGTAAAAACAAAACAAACAACAACAAAAAAAAATGGAAGACGTCTTATTATAATTTCCAGATTAGTCTCGTTTTTTTTTCTTTTTCTTTTCTTATTTTACTGTTTCCTATACACTGTCTTGTGTAAGAGAAATATCACAGCGCATGATGATGCAGCTTATTCGAACAAGCTTCAGGTCAGTACAGCCTTAAGGGAGCACCAATTCTCCAGTGTACTTTGCTTCCCTCACTATTTTTAGCTCTCCAGACAGACATTGTGTGGCTGTGGCTCTGACAAGAATGAGGCCAACTGAATGCAGGGAATGAACCTCTCAGCCAAGTGCCAAGAGTCTCACCCGCTCTGCATATTCATGGTCCAAAGCGTAACATCTGGGACATTTCCCTCTGCGCCCGATTTCGATTCTCACTGTAATGCCTCAGTTTAATCAAATGATTTTCTCCTCTCTCTGTCCCTGTGAACCATGATTTGAAAGGCCAAGGGGCAAATTAGATGAACACCTAATGGTATGGTACATGACAAAAAGTATGTGGTTGCCATACTTTGAATGTGAATTAAATGCATTGTAACAGTTTGAGATTTGATGGATTTACATATTACTGTGTATGTTTGTGTCTGTGGTACAGGGATAGGCCCGCAGTAATCCAAAATCTGCTGGGGATTGCCTACCCCCAGTACATTTGTCCTCTGGCTTTGCTTTGTGTGCACTCATGCTGTTCTCTACTTCTGTTTGACTCTGTAAACTGTTGAAATTCCTGCCCAGGCCCTTTTCCATAATGTGCCATTCCCCATCAAGCCTCCAGATGTCCTCGGACTTCCCCTCTCTTCCCCATCACCTGACTCAGCTCTGCTCACCTGCACACCTGTTTCCTGTTCCCCACTCAGCTTCAGCTTGTTTGCCTTTGTTCTTTGCCAGACTTTTGTATGTGTTTTCTCAGCTTTTCATTCTAGCATGCTTGGATGCTTGTGGTTTCATAATGTTTGGATTACTACCTGTTTTGGAATTTCTGCTCAACATTGAACTCTGCCTGGATTTTTGGACTATGATTTTGTTGGTTCCACATTGGACTAGTTGCCTTGTTTGGATTGCTTGTCTATTTTTGACCCCTGCTTGTTCCTGACTTTGCCTGCTGTTTTCTCTGCCTGGTGTTGCCTGCCCAGACTCTGAGTAAGCTTGTTTACTTCCTTTTTCTGCATCCACAGTAACTCTCACTGGTCAAACATGTGGTCTCACTACAAACAAGCTTTAAATGCAAAATGTCAACATTTAGGGAAATACGCTTATTCACTTTCTTAGCTAGGGGTAGATAAGAAGATTGAATGTGGTAGGCTTATTCCAGTAATAATATTTTTTTGTGAAAATGTATTTTAAGCATTCGCAGAAGCTTCTTAGATCACTCCTGTAGCATAATTGTCCCTTTAACTGTTTATTTATACATTTAGTATATACAGTGTCACACTGTAGTCTTGCAAAAAAAAAAAAAGCTAAACCTGTAAGAAGTGTCATTTTGTTCGTGCAGTCAACTAAGACTGACTGTAACCAAGATCAGATAAAGCCATTTAAATATGTACAACTAAAGAACAAATATTATGCCATCCATATGTCTTTACAGTACAGGGCAAGCTCCCACAATGACTCCAAAGTCTGTTTAAACCCATGGATGAGAATTTATTATCCAGAGCTAAGCAGTCATAATGTCACAAAATGTATCATCAGGCTAAGCCGAATCAGTGCGTGATGCATAGCCAAGTACAGTTGGTAAATGTGGATTGATGCTTTAATTGCAAAATAATTTCAATCTCCAGGACAGTGCGGTAATAAAAATATTAAAATATCCATTAGAGATCCTGGACTTTTACCTGAGAAGGAGAAGACAGTGGGTGCTGGTGTTTTTTTTTTTTTTTTTTTTTTTGAACACACAGCAGAGAGCAGTGACCTGATGTTTTCCATGAACCACTTTTAGTTTAGCTCATGAAGTTGGTCTTACTGTAATCTGTTCCCAAAAAAGGTTCCACCTAATCCATCTAAAAAAGAAATAGCAAGCTGATAGTCCCCTCTCAGTGGCCATAATAATAGGGTTTCTGCTCTAATCTGACAGTGCACCAGTCGCTGCACACTGACAGTTGTATCCTAGCAGCAACCAACTATATGAAATGTGACTTGGAAGCCTTTTGCCATTCATGGCCAAACAGCCTACAAACCGACTGACTGATGTGACCCTGCTGCCCTTTTGCTTTTAGTAAACCACAAACCTGTCTCATTTACAGCTCCATCATGCTCCACCTACTTCTGTTTTTTTTCCTTCCGCCGTGTTGTTTAGCCTTTGTCACTGTCTCGTTATTATTCTGTCTGTAGAGTGACAACAACCTCACAAAGTAGGATAAGGATAGTGTAGTCAGAGTTTGCAAGTTGTGTATCAGGTAATGTCAGGACAGTGAAGTGACTGACTCTGGTTAGTGCTCAGTACCTCGTGAAAGGATGTTAATTCTGCTTTTTGTGGTAGAAATGCTGCCTCTGATGTGTTGATAATTGAATCAAGTCATGTGATATGATGCTTTGCTTCCAGAGCAACTAACTGGACTACTTTCCACCATTAGTAAATATTATGATGAACTGCAAGTCTGTCTTAAGTACTTTGTCTTCATTCTGGTTTCAAGTGTTAGCTGCATGCTTTATACAGAATCTCACTTTTTTTGTTGGAACCAGATCCCCAAAAGTTCATTTAGATAACTGATTGGGTATCATTACAAGAATCTAAATCAAATCCTTGAAATTTCACTTGCCTGCTTAAAAGTGACGGAGATTTAAAGAATATGAACCCTCAAGAGGCATCAAAGATGCAGACTTGTGTATGAGTGTCAAATATCAATCTTTTTGAGTTGATGGTTTACATTCGTGTTTGTAAATGGCATTTATTCGGCCCCATGTGTGAACACCATTGAGGTCCTGAGCTGCCATTCATGCATAGATTTAATTGAAATTTTTGTATGCATGCAGCTCACATTTCAGAATCAGAATCAGTTTACTAGCCAAGTGTGATGGACACACGAGGGACTTGGCTCAGGTACATCGGCTCTCAATGTGCAAACAGTAAACCAGCATAAGGCTGTGTAATGCCATACAAAAATAACAACAATGCAGTCTTCAATTTGTGCGACAGTCAAATCACACAATTTTCTCAAAAATGGCTCGATTATGATATGTTTTGCCTTGGCTTGAACAGAAGCTTCTCCATTAATGTCCAATAAATGTGAAACTTCCTTGTCTCTCCACTCACCCCGTCACTGTTGTTGCTGTCCTCCATGTATATTTTACCGGTCTGCAAGGGGCCGACACTAAATGATGACGACAGGCGGTTTGCACAGACTAAAAAGAAAAACACATGAATTCTGATCTGACCATTCTGACAGGTTGGATAATAATCCACTTGCACTCCCCTCACCTGCATTGTTAGATTTACCAGCAGAAAACCAAACCTTGATATTGCACTGCTAATTACCTTAGCCTCCAGTCTAACTGCCAATAGACCTTTTTCACAGCTGACATTTTTAGCAAGTCATAGCAGAAAAAGCACACATGTAATCGATAACACTAAAAGCAACTAAATTCCAATCAGATAAGTTAGTTAGAAAATTCTGTATTGTGTATATACTGTAGTACTGGCTTGCTTACTGCGACAGCTGATGGAACTGAGCTGCTGTTAATGAAATTTGTTTCATTTGTGCTTTTCCTCTTGAGTTTTTCCACATGCCTGCAGCTCACATTTGATTAGATAAATTCAGAGGTGGACACAAATATAAGAAGAAAAAAAGAGAACATTTGAAATAAAAACACAACACATATATTTTACTGTCTTTAATATTAAAATAAAGATCAGTAGGTTACAGTGCATCAGACCCTAAGGTGCCTCAAATTTAATAGTCTGTTAAATGGTCTAGTTGACTTCATCCATGTTTGAAATTTCCATGAGGCTAAATTCTGCTGAATAACTAAATGCTTTAAATTAAAACCTTCATCTGTAGTTGATTCTACAGACCTGTTGGCCCCAAGTGAATAGTGATCTTACTCAAAGCATGTTTTGTTTTTTTTTCCTTTAACAAGCTGGTGGCAAGATCTCAGTCAAGTCCTGCCAATACATTTCTCTTTGCGCCTTTTCATGCCATGTTACAAGCTTGGTCACACTTGAAAGGTGAGCTGCAAACAAGCTCCAAGTTCAAACCAACTGAACTGAGCTGAGCACTTTGACACCAAGTTTAAGGCTTAGAACGGCACAGCGGAGCGCTCAGTGTCACATCTCTGCTGGAAGGAAAACTATTGTCAGTTCTTGTGTGTTAGCAGCTTCATCCAAGGCACTTACTGGGCTGTCCAAGTTTGTGTGCCAGTGGGGCTCAATGTTTGATGGAGATTTTTGCCAGAAAAATGTCATATCCATCAGGCACGCTGAGGGTATGAGAAACATTTTTAATCTTGCCCGCACCTATTTAAAAGTCACCTTGAACCTACTTCTGCCAAAATAGGAGGAGAAGCACAAGCAGGTGGACTCAGTAGTGGTCAAAGAACACAATACATTTTTTTTTTACCAAGCATTACTGTGCTGCACATCATCGGTTCACCCAGAAGACTTAAAACGGACAAGCAACAGCCATGTTCTGTCCTTTTACTGTTTTCTCAAGCAATGTGCTCAAGAGCATATATAAACCTTTTCGTAGACATGTTGGTTAACGTGACTTTGACCATCAATTTCTCAGGAACACCAGCCAATAATCTCACATGCTGCAGGCATCAACATCCACAGTGATGATAAGCAAACCTGCAAAATATATGTATGCTAACAGTACCACCCACACATATACACACGCACAGGTTGTTTATGTGTGGAAGCTGCTGTGTTTCGTTGCAATGTGACAGACTTGGTTGTGGCATTTTTCCCTTATTTGTTTTGTTCTGTTTTTTTTTTTTTTGTCACTGTTATAACTATGTTGCCATTTTTCATGGTTGGCTCAAAAGCAATTTGATTAACTATACAGTATGTGCCTTTCCTAAGTGTTTGAATAGTGCCAAAAACTAAAAGCTTTCAGGTGGTTAGACTTGACATGGTGGCTGTGGAGTGCTTGTATATTTAAACAATTTTGAAGCACTTTTTATTTGGCCTGTTATTAAAATTCAAAATTTCCTTTTTCTGTTCAGTTTCACTAATGCACGCAAATATTAAGAGCACACGCATCCAAACTGATCATCATTAACATTAATATTTTTCAGCCACACTCCCAGATGTATTATATACTTTGAGCGCACATCCCTTGTCATCAGACAAAAACAGGTGGCACCATGCATGATCAACTGCAATTGTGTCAATATGTTGTATAAAGAATTTATAACAGATTAAATAATTCCTTTTTTTTTTTATCTGAACCTTTTTAAGGCTATAACTAGGTACAAAGAAATGGCTATATGTTGCTCCCACAGAAAAGTGGCAGAAAAGTGAGAGAGAATCAGAAAAAAGGGTGTCAGAGAAGCAGTGATGGAGTGGTGGAGGCTGTACCAGACGAGCTGTAAGAGTAGCAGAGAGGCAGCTCAAAGGTGGCAGACAGGGTGCCTCTGCCAGACTGAAACAAACTTCTTCTGTGATGACTGTATTTTTGCCAGACTTTGCAATATTGCATGAGCCTATGGGGCACCTTTTCATTTATTTTTACTCTGTGTTACTGTGAGATGATAATCCAAAAGTGAAACATTTACCAGCATAGAAGTAAAGCAGTGCTTAGATCTATTTTAGATGACTACCTGTGAAGGAAAAAAAAAAGAATTCCACAAAAAAAAACTTTTAAAACCTTTTGTTTTTTTTTTTTTTTTTTTTTTTTTTTAAAGCAGCTTAACAAATGCATGCCGACTTCAATGCATTAACAAAATTTGGGGTGAGACACCGTGTAAACAGAAATGTTGGTTGTTTGAATGAAAAATCCACAGGGTGCTTTTAAAACTCCTTCAGCCAGACACACATTGCATAGAGATGCCCCAGGTTTTTGCAACACTGACTTTTGGGTAAAGAGGTTTTCTTACTGAGAAATGCTTTTAAATGAGACAAGGTATTCTGTGTTCATTATTTTAGCAACACAATAACATAATCAAACTTCTTTCTTTGACAAAACATTTTAACGAGATATTAC